TGGGGGGAATATGGGGACATGGGGACACCAAGGGGATGCGGGGACATTGTGGGGTGGGGGGACATGGGGACACCGAGGGGACGTGGGGACATTGTGGGGTGGGGGGACATGGGGACACCAAGGGGATGTGGGGACATTGGGGGGTGGGGGACAAAGGGACACTATGGGGACACTTGTGGGGACAGGCGAATGTGGGGACAAGGGAACACCATGGTGACAGCAGGAGATGGCCCACAGGGACACCCAGTGTCACCCAGTGTCACCAGACCCAATGTCACCCAATGCCACCCAACCCAACACCACCAACGTCCCCCAACCCAATGTCACCCAATGCCACCAACACCACTCAGTGTCACTCAGTGTCACCCAGTGTCACCCACCACCACCGTCACCCAACTTAGTGTCACCCAACATCACCCAACGTCACCCAACCCAATGTCACCCAACATCACCCAACCCAACGTCACCAACGTCACCCAACGTCACCCAACCCAATGTCACCCAACATCACCCAATGTCACCCAACCCAATGTCACCCAACATCACCCAACCCAACGTCACCAACATCACCCAACGTCACCCAACCCAATGTCACCCAACGTTACCCAACCCAACGCCACCAATGTCACCCAACCCAACGCCACCAACGCCACCCAATCCAATGCCACCCAACATCACCCAACCCAACGTCACCCAACGTCACCCAACCCAATGTCACCCAACGTCACCCAACGTCACCCAACCCAATGTCACCCAATGCCACCCAACATCACCCAACCCAACGTCACCCAACCCAATGTCATCCAACGTCACTCAATGTCACTCAGCCTCACCCAACGTCACCCAACCCAACGTCACCCAGTGATGCCACCCCACGTCACTGCTGTCCCCCGCTGTCCCCCTCCCCACCTCCTCCCTCACAGCTCCGTCGCCGTCGCTCAGCGCGCTCTGACACAGCGCACAGAAGGAGCTCATGGTGCCCCGCAGGGACTGCAGCTCCTCCTGGGGACAGCGGGGGACAGGGGGACACGTGGGGACATGTGGGGAGATATGGGGACACGTGGGGTCACGTGGGGACACGTGGGGACAGATGGAGACATATGGAGATACGTGGGGACATATGGAGATACGTGGGGACACGTGGGGTCACGTGGGGACACGTGGGGAGATATGGGGACACGTGGGGACACGTGGGGACATGTGGGGACACGTGGGGAGATATGGGGACACGTGGGGTCACGTGGGGACACGTGGGGACACGTGGGGACAGATGGGGACACATGGGGACATGTGGGGACACGTGGGGAGATATGGGGACACGTAGGGACACGTGGGGACACGTGGGGAGATATGGGGACACGTGGGGACATGTAGGGACACGTGAGGACACGTAGGGACACAGGGTGACATAGGGTGGCATGGGGACACACGGGGACAGGTGGGGACATATGGGGAGATGTGGGGAGATGCAGGCACACGTGGGGACACATGGCGACACATGGGACATATGGGGACATGTGGGGACACATGGGATCACATGGGGACATATGGGGACACGTGGGGACACGTGGCGACTTATAGGAACACATGGAGACATAGGGACACGTGAGGACACGTGGGCACGCAGGGTGACATATGGTGGCATGGGGACACGTGGGGACATGTGGGGACACACAGGGACAGGTGGGGACACGTAGGGACACAGAGTGACATGGCAACATATGGGGACACGTGCGGGCATGTGGGGACACACAGGGACATGTGGGGACATGTGGGCACATATGGGGACACATGGGGACATGTAGGGACACAGAGTGACATATGGGGACATGGGGACACAGAGTAACATATGGGGACACATGGGGACATATGGGGACACAGAGTGACATATGGGGACACATGGGGACGCGGGGGACATATGGGGACACACGGGGACACATGGGGACATATGGGGACCACAGAGTGACATATGGGGACACATGGGGACGCGGGGGGACATGTGGGGACATATGGTGACACACGATGACATACAGTGATGGTGACACAGTGACAGTGGTGGCAGTAGTGACAAACAGGTGACAGAGATGACAGAGGTGACAGAGGTGACAGAGATGCCACACAGCGATGGTGACAGAGATGACAGAAATGACAGAAGTGACACACAACAACGGTGACAGAGATGACAAAGGTGACATAGCTGACAGAGGTGACACACAGCGATGGTGACTGAGGTGACTGAAGTGACAGAGGTGACAGAGGTGACAGGGCCATCTGTCCCCCCTGCTGTCACCGCACCTCGGTGGCGGCGCCGGCGCGGAGCTGTGAGAGCTGCCATAGGAGGTGCAGCTGGGCGCAGGTGATGGCGGGGACAACAACCTGGGGGACGTGGGGGGGGTTGGTGACACCCGGGGGTGGCCATGACGATGTCACCATGATGTCACCGCCATGATGTCACCGCGGCGTCACCCGGTGTCACCTGAGGGGGCACCTCGCCCGTGTCGGCCGAGCGCTGGAGGAGGAGGAGGAGACGTGGGAGGAGACGCCATGGGGTCAGGTTGTGGGAGCTGTGGGGACACGGGGACAACGTGGGGACGTGGGGACAGAATGGGGACAGACTGGGGACAACATGGGGCATGGGGACAGAATGGGGACGGCGAGGGACACGGGGACAAAATGGGGACAACATGGGGATAGAATGGGGACAGCAAGGGACGTGGGAACAGAATGGGGACACGGGGACAGAATGGGGACAATGTGGGACATGGGGACAGAATGGGGACAACATGGGGACAACATGGGGACAGAATGGGGAAGGCGAGGGACATGAGAACAGAACGGGGACAGAACGGCGACAGCAAGTGACATGGGGACAGAATAGGGACAGTGTGGAACATTCGGATATGGGGACAGCAAGGGACATGGGGACAGAATGGGGACAGTGTGGGACATGGGGACAACATGGGGACATGGGGACAGAATGGGGACACGGGGACAGCGAGGGGACAGCAAGGAGATGTTATGGGGCAGCACAGGGACGTTGTGGGGACGTTGTGGGGACAGCATGGGGACACCAGAGCCGGGGGCGCTCACGCAAAGATGGCGGCCAGGCGCCGCAGGGTGGCGGCCATGTTGAACAGCTCCTCCTCATCCAGGGATGCGGACTGCGGCTGCGGGGCCACCATGGCCATCAGCGTCCCCACCCCAATGGCCCATCAGTGTCCCCACCCCAATGGCCCATCAGTGTCCCCACCCCAATGGCCCCAGCTCAACCCCACTGTCCCCACTTCGGTGTCCTCACCCAATATTCCCACCCCAATAACCCCATAACCCATAATAACCCCATAACCCTCCCATAACCCCAAAACCCCCATAACCCCAACAACAACCCCATAGCCCCAATTATACTCCCATAACCCCCTAATAACCCTATAAAACCCCTAATAACCAACAATGCCCCATAATAACCCCATAAGAACCCATAATAATGCACAATAACCCATAATAATCCCACAATAACCCCAAAATAGCCCATAATAACCCCCAGTAACCCATAATAACCCCATAACAATACATAATACCCCCTAATACCCCACAATACCCCACAATAACCCCACAATACCCCATAATAATCCCATAAAACCCCTGCAATACCCCCACAATACCCCACAATAACCCATAATAATCCTGCAATACCCCATAATACCCCATAATACCCCATAATGCCCTACAATAACCCCCTAATAACCCCATAACAATTCATAATACCCCATAATACCCCACAATACCCCATAATAACCTATAACCCCATAAAAACCCCATGCCCCCCCCCACGCCCCCCCTCTCACCCCCAGCAGCTCCCGGAAGTCCCGCTCCCACTTCCGGCTCAGCCCGTCCACCAATTGGCTCCGCACCAAATCGCCCCGCCCCGAGAGCGGAAGTTCCGGATCGCAGAAGGCGCCCAAAGCCCGGGCGGCCGCCCTCAGAACTTCCGGCCCCGTGTGTTTGTGCAGCAGCTCCTGCAGCTGCGCCAGCGACTGGGACAGGGCCTGCGGGGCGGCGGGAGGGGCTGGTGGGGCCCTATGGGGTGTATGGGGTAATGGGGCCCTATGGGGTGTATGGGGCCCTATGGGGGTAATGGGGCCCTATGGGGTGTGGGGCCTTATGGGGTAATGGGACGCTATGGGGTGTGGGACCTTTGGGGGGCAATGGGACCCTATGGGGGTGTGTGGGACCCTATGAGGGTGTGTGGGACCCTATGGGGGGTGATGGCACCCTATGGGGAGTATGGGATCCTGTGGGTGTGTGGGGTCACTGTGGGGTATGGGACATGATAGGGGTATGGGGACACTATGGGGAGATGGGGTCCCTATAGGACTGCGGGGTCCCTGTAGGGCAATGGGGTCCTTATAAGGGCTACGGCATCCCTATAAGGGCAACGGGGTCCCTGTAGGGCAACGGGGTCCCTATAGGGCTATGGGTACCTATAGAGCAATGGGATCCCTATAGGGCATGGGGTTCCTGTAGGGCAATGGGATCCCTATAGGGCAATGGGGTTCCTAAAGAGCAAGGGGGTCCTATAGGGCTATGGGGTCCCTGTAGGGCAACGGGGTCCCTGTAGGGCTATGGGTCCCTATAAGGGCATGGGATCCCTATAGGGCATGGGGTCCCTGTAGGGCAACGGGGTCCCTATAGGGCTATGGGGTCCCTATAGGGCTATGGGGTCCCTGTAGGGCAATGGGGTCCCTGTAGGGCCGTGGTCCCCCTCCGACCCGCTCCATCCTCGCGGCGCAGAACACCCTGAGCTCCATGCAGCCCAGCAGCTCCAGCAGCGCCAGCACCTTCTGTGCGTCCACCGAGAACTGTGGGCACGGCGTCACCAGCGTCCCCAGATCGTCACCAGCGTGTCCCCAAAACGTCCTCAGCGCGTCCCCAAAGCGCCGCCGTCCCCAAAGGGCCACCAGTGTCCCCCAAACGTCACCTCTGTGTCCCCCAAGTGTCACCAATGCGTCCCCAAAGTGTCACCTCTGTGTCCCCAACGGATCACTGGCATGTCCCCAAAGTGTCACCTCTGTGTCCCCAAAGTGTCACCTCCGTGTCCCTAAAATGTCACCAGCGAGTCCCCAAAACGTCCTCAACGCGTCCCCAAAGCACCGCCGTCCCCAAAGGGCCACCAGTGTCCCCCAAACGTCACCTCTGTGTCCCCAAAGGATCACCGGCGTGTCCCCAGAGTGTTGCCAATGCATCCCCAAAGTGTCACCTCTGAGTCCCCTGTGTCCCCAAAACGTCACCTCTGTGTCCCCAAAGGATCACTGGCATGTCCCCAAAGTGTCACCAATGCATCCCCAAAGGAACACTGGTATGTCCCCAAAGTGTCACCTTTGTGTCCCCAAAGTGTCACCTCTGTGTCCCCAAAGTGTCACCTCCAGGTGTCCCCAAAGGGTCATCAATGCATCCCCAAAGTGTCACCTCCGTGTGTCCCCAACGTGTCACCATCCCCAAAGGGTCACCAACATGTCCTCAAACTGTCACCTCTGTGTCCCCAAAGCGTCACCGTCCCCAAAGAGCCACCAGTGTCCCTCAAACGTCACCTCTGTGTCCCCAAAGGATCACTGGCATGTCCCCAAAGTGTCACCTCTGTGTCCCCAAAATGTCACCTATGTGTCCCCAAAGGATCACCAGCATGTCCCCGAAGTGTCACCAATGCATCCCTAAAATGTCACCTCTGTGTCCCCGAAGTGTCACCTCCAGGAGTCCCCAGAGGGTCATCAATGCATCCCCAGAATGTCACCTCCATCTGTCCCCAACGTGTCACCATCCCCAAAGGGTCACCAACATGTCCCCAAACTGTCACCTCTGCGTCCCCAGAATGTCACCTCCAGGTGTCCCCAAAACGTCGCCAATGTCCCCAAAGGGCCACCTCTGTGCGTGTTCCCAAAGTGTCACCTTCAGGTGTCCCCAAAGGGCCATCAACGTCCCCAAAATGTCACCAGCGTCCCCGAAGGGCCGCTTCTGCATCCCCAAAGTGTCACCTCTGTGTCCCCAAAGTGCCACCAGCATCCCCAAAGTGTCACCTCCCTGTGTCCCCAAAGCGTCACCGTCCCCAAAGAGTCACCGATGTCCCCAAAATGTCACCTCTGTGTCCCCAAAGTGCCACCTCTGAGTGTCCCCATGGTGTCACCTCTCTGCGTACTCCCCAAGCGTCACCTCCAGCTGTCCCCAAAGTGCCACCCCCGTGTCCCCAAGGTGTCCCCTCACCTTGGCCAGCAGCCGTGGCAGGACGGGTGCCATGCAGTGGCTGAGCCTCGTGCGCTCCTCCGGCTGCGTGCGGGGCTGCGGCTGATGGGGACAAAGACCACGTCCCCAAAGTGTCCCCAAGGTGTCCCCAAAGTGTCCCCAAAGTGTCCCCAAGGTGTCCCCAAGGTATCCCCAGGATGTCCCCAGAATGTCTTCAAAGGGCTCCCAGAGTGTTGCCAAGGTGTCCCCAGGGTTCACCAAGGTGTCCCTGAAGTGTCCCTAAGGTGTCCCCAAAGTGTCCCCAAAGTGTCCCCAAGGTGTCCCCAGGGTGTCTCCAAGGGTTCCCCAAGGAGTCCCCAGAGTGTCCCCAAAAGATCCCCAAAAGGTCCCCAAGGTGTCCCCAAAGCGTTCCTAAGGTGTCCCCAGGGTGTCCCCAGGGTTTCCCCAGACTGCCCCCAAAAGGTCCCCAAGGTGTCCCCAAAGCGTCTCCAAGCTGTCCCCAAAGTGTCCCCAAAGTGTCCCCAGGGTGTCTGCAAGGGTTCCTCGAGGAGTCCCCCAGAGTGTCCCCAAAACGCCCCTAAGATGTCCCCAAAGCGTCCCTAAGGTGTCCCCAGGGTGTCCCCAGCATTTCCCCACATTGCCCCCAAAAGGACCCAAGGTGTCCCCAAGGTGTCCCCAAGGGTTCCCCAAGGAGTCCCCAGGGTGTCCCCAAGATGTCCCCAAGGTGTCCCCAAGCTGTCCCCGTTACCTTCCGGGGGTTCCTCCGTCCCGGGGGGGGCTGTCCCTGCGTCACCCGCGTGGCGGTGGCGGCCAGCAGCTCCAGGAGGACCTTCTCTTGTTGGTCAGTGAGGGCTGGGGGGGGACTGGGATGGACTGGGATGGACTGGGATGGACTGGGGGGGACTGGGGGGGACTTAAAGGGACTGGGAGCACTGGGATGGACGGGGAGGGGACCCAGAAGGGAACTGGGGGGGGACTGGAGGCCCCCAGCATCTCTCAGTGACGTCCCAGTGATGCCCCAACCCGTCCCAGTGCCACCCCAGTATGTCCCAGTACCTCCCAGTAGCTCCCAGTGCCACCCCAGTATGTCCCAGTACCTCCCAGTGCCTTCCAGTGCCACCCCAGTATGTCCCAGTACCTCCCAGTAGCTCCCAGTGCCATCCCAGTATATCCCAATGCCTCCCAGTGCCTCCCAGTATCTCCCAGTGCCACCCCAGCAAGTCCTACTGCCTCCCAGTGCCATCCCAGTACCTCCCAGTGTCTCCCAGTGCCATCCCAATATCTCCCAGTGTCTCCCAGTGCCATCCCAATATCTCCCAGTGCCTCCCAGTGCCTCCCAGCAGATCCCACTGCCTCCCAGTGCCATCCCAGTATATCCCAGCAGATCCCAGTACCTCCCAGTGCCTCCCAGTGCCATCCCAGTGCCTCCCAGCAGATCCCAGTGCCTCCCAGTGTCTCCCAGTGCCACCCTAGCAGATCCCACTGTCTCCCAGTGCCATCCCAGTACATCCCAGCAGATCCCACTGCCTCCCAGTGCCTCCCAGTGTCTCCCAGTACATCCCAGCAGATCCCAGTTCCTCCCAGTGCCATCCCAGTGCCTCCCAGTGCCTCCCAGTGCCACCCTAGCAGATCCCAGTGTCTCCCAGTGCCTCCCAGTGTCTCCCAGTACATCCCAGCAGATCCCAGTTCCTCCCAGTGCCATCCCAGTGCCTCCCAGTGCCACCCCAGCAGATCCCAGTGCCTCCCAGTGCCTCCCAGTGTCTCCCAGTGCCACCCCAGCAGATCCCAGGGTCTCCCAGTGCCATCCCAGTGCCTCCCAGTGTCTCCCAGTGCCACCCCAGCAGATCCCAGGGTCTCCCAGTGCCTCCCAGTGCCTCCCAGTGCCACCCCAGCCCCCCCACAGACCGCAGAGCCCCCGGTGCCCGCAGGCTCACCGTCGCTGAGCAGGATGGCGCAGATCCCATCCCAGTCGCGCAGCCGCTCCCCGGCGCAGTCCCACAGGCTGTCCACCAGGTAGGCGCTGTGCGCATGGAGCTGGGGAGCAGCCCGACGTCACCCCAACGTCACCCCGACGTCACCCCAATGTCACCCCAACGTCACCCCGACGTCACCCCGACATCACCCCAACGTCACCCCGACGTCACCCCGACGTCACCTCGATGCCACCCCGATGTCACCCCAACGTCACCCCGTCACCCCATCTCACCCCAACGTCACCCCAACGTCACCTCAATGCCACCCCATCTCACCCCAATGTCACCCCAATGTCACCTCGATGCCACCCCAATGCCACCCCAATATCACCCCATCTCACCCCATTGTCACCTCAACGTCACCCCCTTGTCACCTCACTGTCGCCTCAACACCTCAGCATCACCTCGTCACCCCACTGTCACCCACCGCCACCCATTGTCACCCCATTGTCACCCACTGCCACCCCACTGTCACCCACTGCCACTCAACATCGCCCCACTGTCACCCCAATGCCACCCCACTGTGACTCCAATGTCACCCCAACGTCACCCTAATGTCACCCCAATGCCACCCCACGTCCCCCCGTGTCCCCCACAGCCCCCCGCCGTCACCTGGCTGCTGATGAAGAAGTCCAGCAGGGCGAGGAGGAAGGCCTGGTTGTCAGCATCATGGCGGGGCTGCAGCAGGCTGGGGGGCGGGGGGGACAAAGGGGGACAGTGGGGGACAATGGGTGACAATAGGTGCCAATGGGAGCCTATGGGTGCCAATGGGAGCCAAGGGGAGCCAATGGGAGCCTATGGGTGTCAATGGGAGCCAGTGGGAACCAATGGGTGACAATGGGAGCCGATGGGTGTCAATGGGTGCCAATGGGTGTAAATGGGAGCCGATGGGTGCCAATGGGGGCCAATGGGAGCCTATGGGAGCCTATGGGTGTCAATGGGAGCCAATGGGAGGCAATGGGTGCCAATGGGTGTCAATGGGAGCCGATGGGTGCCAATGGGGTCAATGGGAGCCAAGGGGAGCCAATAGGTGCCAATGGGTGTCAATGGGAGCCAATGGGTGCCAGTGGGAGTCAATGGGAGCCAATAGGAGCCAATGGGAGCCAGTGGGAGCCTATGGGGGCCAATGGGAGCCAACTGGTGCCAATGGGAGCCGATGGAAGCCAGTGGGAGCCAGTGGGAGTCAATGGGAGCCAATAGGAGCCAATGGGAGCCAGTGGGAGCCAATGGGTGCCTAATGGGTGCCAATGGGTGTCAATGGGAGCCAGTGGGTGCCAATCGGTGTCAATGGGTGCCAATTGGTGCCAATGGATGTCAATGGGAGCCAATGGGAGCCAATGGGTGCCAGTGGGAGTCAATGGGAGCCGATGGGTGCCAATGGGTGACAATGGGTGCCTAATGGGTGCCAATGAGTGTCAATGGGTGCCAATGGGTGCCAGTGGGTGCCAATGGGTGTCAATGGGAGCCAATGGGAGCCGCCATACCTGCGGAGCAGGAAGAGCCCGGCCGCGGCCGCCAAGGCGCGGTGCGACCCGAACAGCGCCGGGTAAACGCGGTGCCGCTCCGATGGGGGCAGCGCCTCGGGGAGCGTCCTGGGGGCGGCACTGCACGTGTCACCGGCGCCACCCCATAACGGCCCCATGACCCCACAACATCCCCATAACATCTCCAATACGTCCCCATTCAACCCCAACGTCCACATAACGTCCCCATAACCCCATCACATCCCCACAATGTCCCCAATACATCCCCATGCCACCCCATCACATCCCCACAACATCCCCCATATGTCCCCACACCACCCCAACGTCCCCATAACGTCCCCATGACCCCATAACATCCCCACAATGTCCCCAATACATCCCCATGCCGCTCCAATGTCCCCATAATATCCCCATAACCCCATAACATCCCCACAACGTCCCCAAGATGTCCCCACACCACCCCAACGTCCCCATAACGTCTCCATAACCCCATCACATCCCCATAACATCCCATAAAGTCCCCACGACCCCACAAACATCCCCATGACCCCACAGGGTCCCCATGTCCCCATTTCCCAACATCCCCATGACCCCATACTGTCCCCACAACGTCCCCATAACCCCATAACATCCCCATGACCCCACAGCCCCATGAGGTCCCCCTGCGACGCCCCC